AAATCATACGAATGTAATAAAATTTGTCATTGTAGTTGATACATCCTTTGGCAATAAAATCAAAATAATAGGGTTATGAATAACGAAGAGAAAACATATAGCTGTTAAACTTGCAAATACCAGGGTACAATATAACATGATATGGGTACATGTGAACACATCGGTATTGGCATTTTAATTGCAAACGAGTCGATATTGATGGATTAAGGATATCACTATCCATTGTCAATTCTTGATACAAAACTTGGATTCTTTCAATAAATACTGAGCCAATAGTGCCGGATTCGGAAATAGTAGGGTAGTTAAAGTATTCGATAGTATCGATATTGAATCTTACAATATTTAAATTATTGATTCAAGTGTTTCTTAAATGGCCGCCCTTTTTGAAAAAAGGTAGCCAACTTTAGAATTAACTGAAAGTCTCTGTATTTTATTATCTTTTTAGTATGTATGTACAATTTTAAGACTAATTATTTATTTTTTGCATTTCTACTCCATGAGCTACAGGATGCAGGAATGGTTAAAGTTGTAAAATTTCGAATAGTTTTCGAAAAAACAGCTGGCATGCTTGCTTAGGCCCTTATCAAAACTCTTTCTCATGCCAAAATGTCATAACATTAACCATTATTATCTTTGAAACGGTTAGGTTTATTAAAAAAAAAAAAAAACACATGAGTAAAATTGTCTTAATACTACATTTTTTACAGAAATACAGGGTATTCCATAAGAAATTTCAAAGTTGGCGGCCATATTGGAAAAATGGGGGCTAAAATATTTTTTTCGACTTGATGACAATTCTTAAAATAAAAAATCCAAGGCACTATAGTTTTCGAATAAAACATCTGGCACACTTATATCAATCACCCTGTATGTAACATGCTATACCAGTAGGTAATATCATTTAGTATACTCGTGTAAACTAAATGATAATTAGAATTCATTCCTACTACTGGAACGTCTTTTATTAATAATAATATAATGTTACCTTCTAACGTTCCAAAATGGTGTAGTCATACGACGCGTTTCGTCAACACAGTGACATCATCAGGTGATCCGCTATCGCTTCGTCTTGAACATTAACACAAAACAGTCATAACACATATCACGAACACATAATTACTACAGTCGTCGCCCAGAATTAATCATGTGCGTACGCGAGTTGTGGCCACAGCGACGACAATACCGATCGGTCCTTAAATGTAGTAAATATGTGTTCGTGATATGTGTTATGACTGTTTTGTGTTAATGTTCAAGACGAAGCGATAGCGGATCACCTGATGATGTCACTGTGTTGACGAAACGCGTCGTATGACTACACCATTTTGGAACGTTAGAAGGTAACATTATATTATTATTAAATGATAATATCTAAACGTTGTATTATACGTTATTAACGTTTAGGTATTATTAACGTTGTGCTGTAAGAGAAAATTCATAATATTCGTCAAATTCTACTGTTTGTTAACATTAAGATGGAACAAAACCAACTGTAATGTTACCGTAAGTAATTAATTATCAAGTTTTCACAATGACACAGTGTATGAAATAAACATTCCAAACAAAATAGCAGGACTTTGATCTAGGTATGAATTTTTCCATGGTTGAATAATTTACAATTAGTGTGTAAGATACTTAATCTAAGTTAATCTTAGATTTACTATGTGTGTAAACTCTGTAAATCAATTTATGAAACAATAAAGATTTCCTGATTTCTGATAAAGTGGTATGGGAACAGTTCATAGGTCAAAAGCCTTGTTATTTTGTTTTAGATGTTTATTGCATACACTTTATGGTCATTGTGAAAACTTGATAATTAATTACTTACGGTAACATTACAGTTGGTTTTATTCCATGTTAATGTTAACAAACAGTAGAATTTGACGAATAATATGAATTTCTGTTACAGTCGATACAACGTTTAGATATTGTCATTGAGTATACACTTGTATACTCAATGATATCATCTACTGGTATAGCATGTTACATATACAGGGTGTCTCACCCAAAGTGAACCAATAGCTAACATTTTTACTATGAGAAGTACAGTTAACGTCATAAGATGTTTTTTTGTTTTTTTTTGGTGGTTTCAAATTTTAATAATATGATCCCCATTTTCCAATACGGCCAACATCTTAAATATTTCTTATAAAACACTCTGTATCTTAGAATTAATTAAGAATTTAAATGCAATTTAAAAACGTTTATTCCGTACATTCTTTCTCTAAAGCTACTCTTGTAGGAGTTACAGCGTGTTACACCTAAAAAATGTATTGAGGTGTACATTCTGCATCTTGTAGCTCATAACTAAGTTTGGAGTATAAGTGCAAAGTATAAATAAGTCTTAAAATTGTACCTACATACTAAACAAACCATAAAATACAGAGACTTCCAATTTTATCGATACCTACCTTTTTTTTGAAAATTGGTGGCTATTTATGAAACACTTGAATCAATATATTAAATATTATAAGATCCAATAATGATACTTTCGAATAATTTAACTCCCGCGTGTAGACCCTACTATTTCCGAATCTGGCACTATTGGCTCGGTATTTATTGAAAGAATCCAAGTTTTGTATCAAGAATTGACAATGGATAACGATATCCTAAATCCATCAATATCGACTCGTTTGCAATTAAAATGCCAATACCGATGTGTTCACGTGTACCCATATCCTGTTATATTGTACCCTGGTATTTGCAAGTTTAACAGCTATATGTTTTCTCTTCGTTATTCATAACCCTATTATTTTGATTTTATTGCCAAAGGATGTATCAACTACAATGACAAATTTTATTACATTCGTATGATTTTCACATAAAACAAAGTTAACAGTATTATGCTTCGTTGTTATAACAACTAGAATTTTCCAACCTTTATTTTGAATAGGACGTAATCAGGTTTTATGGGTAATCTTTCATCTTATAATATCAAATCAAAGTGATTATAACTTTTAAAAGCTTCCAGTAAAGACTCTAAAACGTAAGCAGCAATGAGCTTTATCTGAACGACGAAGCACGTGTTGGAATAACGATGCAATTAAAAGTTACTGCAAAGTTACAAACTTGCGTATGGTTATAAGAGTATAACTGTTACGATCCCCTCTGTCACAAATGACCAAGTCAGCCGTCAATATGCACGAATAACTCCGTATTTATGACTTCTATGAAACAGCATAAGCTTTGATTACGTAGACCTTGATGTTTAAGGCTATTGCACAAATGCAGTAAAAAGGAAGCAATTTTTTTTAATAATCTATATTGACTGGGACTGGGACGGGTGGCATCGTCCTGTACCCAGGTACTAGGAGGTCACGAATTGTGGATATTTATAGACATGCACTGTGGATGCGATACTCCCTGGTGTGGATTAACGTCCACACGAGTGAGTACTACGACTATCCGCAGTACTATCCTGATAATTAGACCAATTCGTATATGCCAAGGCGAAAAATGTGGTTCGGTTCCACTATAAACTGTAGGTCCCTTAGTTGCCATTAGCTGTATGGGCTTTTAATTAACAGCTGTGTCTAAGGAATGTCGGCCTTAGTCACTAACAAGACTACAAGATCGCACCACTCATCTTACACTCATCCCCATTCATACTTGGCTTAAAATACCTACTATGTATGGTCGCCATTTCATAAAAAAGTATTGAAGTAATTAAGTATATATTAATTTGAAACTGTTTTTCTTTGTGACAGCTAATTTAAGAGAACGGCTGGGCGTAGAAACTCGGTAGAGGTGTCTAAAGAAAGGGCTTGGTCTGTAGATGAGCCATCAAAAGAGAAACGTGGTAAATTCCTTTGGGGCTCTGCCCCAGTGGCCTTTAAATTCCCATCCCATGTTATTCTTGTGGGGGGAAACGGGTTTTTGTCACAGCTAATTTCAGAGAACGGCTGGGCTTAGAAACTCGGTAGAGGTGTCTAAAGAAAGTTCTTGGTTTGTAGATGAGCCATCATAAGAGAAACGAGGTAAATTCCCTTGGGGCTCTGCCCCAGAGGCCTTTAAAGTCCCCTCAGCAGATTTGTTTACATTATGCCCATATGTATAATTTTACAGTAATTTTTAACGAAACAGCTTTAATATTTAAATTGTGATTTACTGAATTTGTCAAAATGGAGTATTTGCAATGTTTTTTTCTGATTTTAAAATCGAATGAAATTAAATGTAAATGAAAACTTGTCTTCAATGCTTGCAAATGAAATTTACACTTTAAAAGTCTTCGGTATTTTTTTTTACTCTTCTGGTTTCCAAATATCACTTCGTTTTTCTTTAAGGATTAAATCATCACATCTCCGTAAAATGATATATTATTCATGACATCCATAGTGATACATTGATAGATTAATGGAATCATTGCCTTTACATTTTACATGTTATATTTAAAATAAGCTTCGGCTCACAACTATAGGCCTAATATACTTATAATAAAGCAAACAAATCCGCCAATTTATGTTCTTAAATCGGAATGTAAAGAAAGGCTAGAGCCAGTTAAGACAAATAATATTTTATTGATTAATAGTTACATGTTTGTGAGAATGTATAAAACCTTTATGGCACATATCGAATGATCGTTTTGACATATAATAGGTTTTTTTGCCAAGCTTAAAGAATACATTAAGCCTACTACCACTTTAAAATTCAGACTGAAGAAGTCAATTGCATGCATAAGATAGATGGATATGCTAAGTTAGATATGCTATGGAGGATGGTCTGAAACACAGAGTAACTTGTCTTTCACCAATATAAGTTTTCTGTTTTCATAAATAACTTAATCTACACTTTAAAATGGACTCTGATTCATAGATTCATGGCAATGGCCTACGAAAACCACTATTTATGTTTAGAACTTGAAACAGATTATGAAGATCAGATTGGTCCACTATTACACTCCAATACTAGATATGCTCATTCACTTTCTATGCCTAGATATGAACATAAGGAAATGATCGCTTGGTGCGTCATAGACCTACTGAACCGATTCCAGCCCGGTCATTGTTTGAATGATCTGTGGTCAGTTTGTTCAGTAAGATAACATCTGATCAGTCTGCTGTCTTTTGCCACTTCAACATGAAGCCTTGGGCTTTAGGCTTCATCGTTCTAGTAGCAGGTTAGTCAATCTAGGCAAGTCTTATTCATGTTTGATAAACTCATAATTAAAGTCGTTAGGATATAATAATAAGGATTGAAAGTCAACCTTAGTTAAAAAGTTTGCTTTTTTGTAAACTGTTATTTTTGTGTGGAAGCCACGTGTGCTATGAAGGATTTTTCAGTGTTATAGTGAGCCTTTTCTAAAAGTGATTTTATGTATTTTAACACTTTAAGGAAAATTTGTGGACATGTTTGATTGTTTAAAACTGCAAATTTATTTCGTACAAAATCGATTTCATGGTCTCCTTTCTAGTTTTGTCGATGAACGAAGGGATTTTTTAGCATTCAAGTAATGTTACTATAGGAAAATATATCTGTGAAAATCATAGAACAAATTGAACTAGAATAATCATGTTTAAAAAAAACGTAAGGTTGTTTGGTATTATATTGTTTACCAATAGGTAATTGTTGTCTTGATTATTAAAATTTTAATTGAATTATGTAGGCATACATATCAATATGTTACAAATGACTTAGATAAAATACAAAATGTTGGTATACCTAGCTAAAGTTATTGTTGTAAAATGTTATATACTGTCAAAAATACTAATAAAAACAACTTTTTCTATTATAAGCAAAGAATGCATCGATGTAAATATTCTTCAGCCTTTTTGTTGATGTTAAAGCTCAATTTAGCCTTCCTTATTTTCACTATATCAAAACTCTTACAACCGTTTACAATATACTAATTTTATTGATAGCAAATCAAATACGCTTGAGAATTCGTTACGTGAAATGTGTGTTTTCAGCTTGATAAAATTGTAATAAATCATTTTGTATCTGTATTAGGCGTGGTAAACCCTTAATGCATTACCCTAGTACTGAGTAAAAGCTATCCCCAACCGATTTCTATCTTTACTCTTGTTTGAAAGTAGCTGCCACTAAAAGCGTTGCTCACCATTATGTACACTCTCATATTTTTTAAACATTTTTTTAACTTAATTGTGAACAAAATGATTAACTGCTTTAATACAAACATTTAAAACAACTTCCGTCAGTATTATTGCACAACTTTGACACAACAATGATATTTCGGTTGTTTTCGCGTTATATCTTCACATTTCGCCTCCAAACCAGTTCAAGTCCGGAACATCCTATCACCCATTTCGACCTCAGAGTTTGATAAGAGATAAGAGCAGCACCAAGGCCGTTGCACAACTGATAAGTGTATACTTATCAAACTGTTACATCTTCTCTCATCCCCAAACAAGGATAATGTTACTTGATCAAAACTTTTTTAAACTTCGCTTTTAATCTAAACTAATTTGAAATGTTACTGTCCTGTGTTGTCGTGAAGAGGGTAGTGAAGCACATAAAGTTGGTAAATAATAACAAACATTTAAACCAAACATTAAAAATAAATTTTGATTTCAAGTTAAAAACTGAGCATTTAAATTGTATACCGTACCTATAATTTTTCTGAGTTCGTTTGGCTCTTCTAACCGACCGATTGTCCTGATATGGGTCTCGAATTGAAGGTATGCACGCACAGATTTCACATCAAGCATCGGCATTTTTTATCTACAGTCCCACTTGGCTTATACGTATAAACGAAAATTGCTGTATTTCTTATGGAAGATAAATTTTGTTTTTCTTTTCCGAGTTCGTTTGGCTCTTCTACCCGACCGATTTTAATAATTGAGGTCTCAAATGAAGGTATGTACGTAAAGTTTCACATCAAGCATCGGCATATATTTATCTACTATATTACTTGACCAAAAACATAAATTTAATTTCTTTTTTATTCTTACTTTAACTTAAGAAGTATTTTACTAGGAATATTTTATAGGATATAAAATATTCCCATAAAATATAGGATATAAAATATATATAATATATTTTAATAGGATATAATCATATATATTTTTGTCTAAGAACCTTCAGTGAAATTCTGGCTTTTATTTAAACTATTAGTTATTTAAATCAAACGAGTTCCAAGCAAACGCAAGGTTTTCTAAAAAAAGAAGAAAAAAACAATACTGGAACTATTGATTCGTAATAAAGAATCAATAGTTCCAGTATTGTTTATGTTTTTTTATATGTTTTATACTCAAATTAATCAGTTAATTATATGCTTTAATTTAAAATATCGATCTTTTGAATCAGTTAAGTTCAATATTACTCAATCAAAAGTCACCTATTTTATTATTCTTCTGATATTATATTTATTTCAACGCTGAGGTTCTCTAGTATTGTTTTATAATGAAAGTAATTTGTCTGGCAAACACCTTTACATTTGCAGATAGAAAATGTCACATCTTATCAAAATATTATAACATAAGCTCTTCACCAATGGTGCTAAATTCGATAACTGTTGAAGCATCACAATGCTTTTGCGCTATTCAAAATATGTACGGAAACTTTTAATAGTTAAATTTACAAAAATATAAGAAACAAACAGGACTAGGCTTATAGCAATAGAAAATTAAAATAGTTAAATGTGTACATTAGGTTAATTTAAAGTACTGTATCTACTAACATCAAAATTACTCAAAGCTTCCAAACCCCCTTTGGCTAGAAGGAGATTTAGAAAAAAACTATTATTAAATAGACAAAGGGGGTGTGATTTGATCGATCCTAGATATAGGCCTACTAATGATAATGTTTTGCAGGTGTTCTAGAGATTATTGCAGATGGTGAGTCTGTGTATCAGAACAGCAGTACATTGGAAGGTGAGAGGTTCTACGTTGTACTTTATAGATTTAATTAGTAAAATTAGTTTTTAAACATGACATTTTTTATACCAAAATAACTGCATTTGAACAGTAGACCTTACTACTTTATATTTTGATTTTATTTTGTAAGCTTTAGTTAGACTTGTAATGAAGTTTAATGATAGTCATGTAATAGGCATTATTTAAATACATTATTGTATTAGTATCGGAATAAAAAATATATCCTTAAAAATTATAAAACATTTACTTTACAAATGCATATTCCTAAATTAATCATGTAAAAAAATTAGTCCTGACCGTTGTGCTTAGAGATGTTAAGAAATTTGTGCTTAGGGATAACAGGGATAACGAACGATTGCCAAAAATCGTTCTCTGTCATCCAATAAAAGTCAGTTCAGTTGTAGGTTATATCACGTTATATCAAGGTTATATCACGTACTCTCAATTGGTATGTCCAATAGTAGTCCAGTCAATGAATGCTCAAAAGGGGGGTGTAGAGGACATGGAGAGGGGGAAATTTTTTTCTGCGGGAATGTGTTCGGGGTAGTTAGAAGATAAAAATACCAAAAGTCCCCGCCCCTGGCCCTGCTGCTTTAGCGGGGGGAGGGGGGGAAAGACCCCATTTTTTAGGTTTTTACTTCTACACTGAAAACCGTGCATCGTACGGAAAAAATGAAAATTATAAAAAGAAAGATGAAATTCTCTACAAGAATGGTCATATTCATTTCTTCCGTATATGCATTAGTTTAAAAGATATTCTCAAAATAATATAAAAATTCTTAAATAAATTGATTTTTCACGCGTTTTTTGTCAAATAAGTTTATATAATCCATTAGCCTGTTGTTGTTTCACATCATTCAGGATAGAAAACAGGTTTTTGAACTCTAACCTATATAATATAATATATCAATCGTATATATTGTGTTAAAATAGTTTATATAAATTTAAATAAGTTATATATATTTGTCATGGAAACAAGTAATTTTGGCATAATTATTACATTAAAAATTAAAAAGATTATGTTTGTAGCTATATTTGTCCAGGTTTATTTATAACAATTGCCGAAACCAAGACTTAATATTATTGTTCATGGTCTGGCTCACTTGGGACGAGAGGGTCCGACTTCTGCCCCCAAAACTGGTGCCATCTGGAACTGAAAACCACCATCTAGGACATCTCCATCATTCAATTCTTGTTGATTAGACTCAATATTGGCTATCAAAGTGAGAATTCGGTGTAGGCCTGTATATTCTTCATCTTCCTCATTCATCAGAATGGGCATTTCATGTAAAAAGATCCCTTGCAGTTCTGGCATAACGGAGAACACTTATTGGACATTTTCTTGCATGCACAAATTGCACATCTGGCATTATAATCTTGAGTACATTTGCCAAAAACTTGATTAAGGGATTAACTGTTCCTGGTTACTATAATTTTGGTGTCTCTGTTCAAATGAATATCTACTGACTAGTGGCGGTCCTTTGGGAGGGGGGGGAGTTCTGATTAGAAACTATCCTTGTATATGATATTGTATAGTTTAAATTTATTAGTCCAGTGCGGACAAAATTGATAACAGGCTGAAAATTGGTGGAAATGTTCAAAACAATGTTCTGAGTGGCCCACACAAAGTCCCAAGAAATCGCAGTTGGAGAACGGCCACCATTTTGAAAAAAACTGCCGCCATCTTGGAAATTTAGATTTCTTGCTGTATCTTTTGAAGTAATTGTCCGAAAGACCTTATTTATGTCTCAAATTAAACGTTTTGGGCTCATGTATGCGGGTAATATATAATTAAAGAGTTTATCATGTTCTAAGCATAAATATTATTTTATTTATATTAACCTCAAAAATATCTATAATAATGATATAGATACGGTTATGTCACCCCTCTTATACGAATTGTGGATATTTATATGCATGCAAGGTGGATAAGATACTCCCTGGTGTGGATTAACGTCCGCACGGGTGAGTACTACGACTATCCGCAATACTATCCTGATAATTAGACCAATTCGTAATTACCAAGGCAAAAATGTGGTTCGGATTCCACTATAAACTGTAGGTCCCTTAGTTGCCATTAGCTGTATGGGCTATTAATTAACAGCTGTGTCTAAGGAATAAGTCGGTCTTGGTCACTAACAAGACTACAAGATCGCACCACTCATCCTACACTCATCTCCATTCACACTTGGCTTAAAATACCTACTTTGTATGGTTGCCATTTCATAGAACAGTATTAACAGTATAGATATTGAGTCTAATGAACAAGAATTGGATTATGGAGAGACCATGAACAATAGTATTAAGTCTTGGTTTCGGTAATTGATATAAATAAACCTGGACAAATATATCTACAAACATAATCTTTTTAATTTTTAGTGTAATAATTATGCCAAAATTACTTGTTTCCATGACAAATATACATAATTTATTTAAATTTATATAAACTATTTTTAACACAATATATACGATTGATATATTATATTATATAGGTTAGTGTTCAAAAACCTGTTTTCTATCCTAATTAATGTGAAACAACAACAGGCTAATGGATTATATAAACTTATTTGACAAAAAACTCGTGAAAAATCAATTTATTTAAGAGTTTTTATATTATTTTGAGAATATCTTTTAAACCAATGCATATACGGAAGAAATGAATATGACCATTCTTGTAGAGAATTTCATCTTTCTTTTTATAATTTACATTTTTTCCGTACGATGCACGGTTTTCAGTGTAGAAGTAACAAACTAAAAAATGGGGTCTTTCCCCCCCCTCCCCCCGTTGAAGCAGCAGGGCCAGGGGCGGGGACTTTTGGTATTTTTATCTTCTAACTACCCCGAACACATTCCCGCAGAAAAAAAATTTCCCCCTCTCCATGTCCTCTACAATCCCTTTATTGACTGGACTATAGGGAAAAAATAAAAAAGTTGCATTTTTGAAACTGGGTGACATTAATAAAAATGGTTAAAAAAATAAATAATTTATGTCAATTTTGTTCAGAACCAGAGCCTATTAGGCTTCTGTACGGAGAAAGTCATGGCATAGCGTGGACAGATGTTACTACCAGAAAGAGGCAGAGAAATATATTGACTAAGAGATATTTGGATGTAGACAGCATTGACTACCATTATAAGAGAAACCTATTCTACTACACTGGCTGGGGTGCTATTTGGAGGTAAAAATCGTAGAATAGAGCAAAGGTGATTGCTTTTGGCGCGCAACTGCATTTTACGGTTTACGGAAAAACGATTGAGCGCCACAATCCTTTTTTGAGTCATCAAATCAAATTTTGTACTGAAAATATTTGTTTGTTCGTAAACATTAGTACGTATTAGACAGTTTTATGCAGAGGTATATTTGTAACAATTCGCAAAATTAACCATTACTTATTTCTAAGCTTATTCAATGATACAATCACATATTTTTTAGATGTGTGTCAAACAATATTTGGTTTATTTTTTTATACAGATACCTATTTCATGAGAGTATCAGAAGACGTTTTCAAAAGAATTGCAGAACTGTTTGACATTTCTTCATATTTTTAGTTTATTCTTAGTTTTTTTTTTTAGTCAAACTAATTACCATTGAATTATTTTGCAAAAGACAAGCTAAAGAGAATTTAAGTGATTTAATCATTATTTTCACAAATTATTATTATTTTTATCCGTATCAAAATTTTGTTTATAAAGGACACATGAGTGACTGTTACGAGTTGAAAAACTTCGATCGTACCAAGACTCATAAGTTTTATACGACTTTGGAACGCTGGGAGGCGCATCAAAGTTAGTTGAATAAAGGTCGACTGAAGCAGGGACATATAAGCTGCTTTATTTGTTCCTCTCAAAACTTACATGACTGTTACTGCTTTTGTATTCCAATAAATTAAAAATCGTTAATTTCGATGGGTAAAATCTGGAGAAAGAACTTTGATAAAAGTTCATACATTTAATGCTTACAATTTCAGCGATTACTCAAGGTAGGCTACGGATATTTTTTATTTTTTAACCGCCTATTTTACTCCACATACAGATTTCATACTTTTGTATTTAGACGAATATGTGTAAGCAAAAACATCTTTATGATACCCATAGAGTGTGTATTTGTATCTTGTGGAACAAAATACAAATACACGTCTTTTATTTCATTATTTTTTACATTATTTGACATCAGGTTTGAAAATTCACATTTCTTACCCCGTTCCCACAATGATTTTTACTCAATGTTTACTCATTATATCGATTTAACAAATTACGTATTCTCAGCATCAAATCAAAATTTTAACAATATTGTATTACGTTTGAATAAATAACACAATAAAACAACCATTACGCTCGTCATATGTGGGAACAAATATATCTGCTAAATTAAAAACGTTGTCGTTCGTCACAAAATCAAAGCGAAGAACAAAGACAATTTTATAATCCAGTTCGTTAGTCGGTTATCGAATTTAAAAAGAACAAAGTGCTGAAAAGCATACCATTGATCAAACGTGCGAATCTTCATAAAGCGTCAGTTTACTTTGGTAGATTTGTGATTTAACATCATTTCTACTTTTTGTTTCCCTTATGCACCAAATATTTGTATATTTGTTCTAACACTGTTTGACGAATGTAAGTGAATTGTTGGGGACGACACAAAAGTAACTTTATTGTTAAACATTTGATTGTTTACCAAATCTCCTGCGTGTAGAGCGTTCTTTTTATAATTAATTGACTAGTAGTTGTTCATTAATGCTAATTATACAGGAAAATCTCAATCGTACTTATTGATCTTTTTTGAAGATCTCTTGTATATTTGCATTAAACTGTGTGGCAGAATCAAAATATTAACCCAGGGAAAAGTAAACAAACTACAAAGCAACATCTTCAATACTATTTTACTTTAATATATTTGTTAGTAAAAAATCTACCTAAAATTCTTTCATAATCCCTGACATGGGTAACTTTAAGACGGTTCCAGGGCTAAGCCCTGAAGGTTATCACTAAATTAATATTGTATAAACCTCTTTCTTGAAATTCTACATGCATGTACCTAGTTTCGTGGCCATCGGTTCGGTGGTGTCTGAGTTTATCACTGCCAAACAAATATATAAAAACCGACATCCTTTTTTATACTTATGAGAAGATACGATAGTCTATTCATTAATGATGTTGCAAATTGTGCTGCTTCTGATTACCTGATTACAAAGAATTACTGTAATTTATGACCATCGACTTGAATGATTTTAAGTACTTACGAAATTATAGTCTCATGTATTCTTTTTTATACCCTTCGCTATTCTGATACGTCTTTACAAAAGCATTATAAATACAGTACAGTATTATGAATCTACATTAATTAATAAAGCATCTGGTTTCCAGACTGCCAATGGAGGACGCCGGACCAGAAGCTCAAGGCGAAGAGATTGTGAGATTCGATTATGGAGTAGGCACTCTGGCTGTTGACTGGGAGCACGAACGCATCTACTGGACTAGTCCTTCCACAGGCTTCGTGTGGAGACTAGGCTTGGACGAAAACGAGGGAAACAGTGTAGTGGTGGTGGAAAACGCGGGAAACCTCACGAGACACAACAATGTTGCGGTGGATCCCTACATGAGGTAAGAGGAGGGAAAGGGAGAAGTACATACTCACGAGTACAGTATATTGAATAGAAGTTTGGATTTATATATAGCTAACAAACGACTTAACATCTATATGTGTCGTTGGCTTGTTGCTTCATGAGGGTAACGCAGAACACAGTAGCTTTGGTTGATAAGGCAGGACCGTTTGAGATCAGCCTTCTGCTATCTCAATGAGGTCACCGCTTTGTCCACATGACTTGTAACGGCACTTTACTGTTTATGTAACCACTGATTAGAACTGCCTTTAGTAGTGGAGGTTTGTAATGAAATCAATAATCTAACATTTATGTGAGGAGTTGCTTGATATGTGTAAGCGTGTTTGTTCCGCTTTATTTACTGTTGGGGTTTCCCACAAACTCCATCTATTATATACATTTGAAATTAAAACTGTTATTTTAAATTTATATTAATTCCAATATTACCAGTTCTTCTTGAAGATTCCATCTATTATTTTTTTACGCTTATTTGTGGCCGAAGTAAAAATATCTTAACACCACAGAAGTTCAAAATAAAAAAATCACATTTGTAAAAGTCCTAAATCTTATAACCTAACGAGAAGGTAAGAACTTAAGTATCGGAAATTGCCACAAGTTCAATGGATTTTGGTTCCAGTATTTAACTCATTAACCAATTGAATACGTGATTTAATGTTTTTTTTATGTGTTAAATTGTTAAAAGTCAGGATTTTGAATGAAGATCGATTGTGTTAACAACACTTTCATCAACGTCATTCACTCTGGACACGTTATTCCTAATGTTAGACTAAGTTAAAAATTAAGTTCTTTTCATGGTCGGTGAGATATACTGCTTGGCAACTCCCAAAGGTATTTGTTCGTAGCTACCGAGTCAGGCCACTCCCTGAGGACGGACCTTGATGGTGACAATCGGATGAGGCTGAACCATGGGCTGAGACTTACCAGCCTCGCCTTAGACTTGCAGAACCGGAGGGTGTACACTTGTGGGTCCAAGGCGTTCGCCCCAGTCCTGCAGTCGTCCGACTACTGGGGCGAGAATGTGATGGACTATGAGATACAGCACGGAAGTGATTGGTTAGTCTAGTTTCTGTATACTTAAATATGCACATTAATGTATTTAACGGTATCTTTCCAAAAAAATTGAACTCCACGACCATTCTCCCAAGGATGCCCGTTGGTACGGGTTGGAAGTGTTTGAATGCTTACATTTAGAATTGGTTGAAGTACTCTTTCAGGGCACGTGTCAAGGAAGATAGGCATTAAAAAACATTTTTTACTCAAAGTTTAAAACTAAACCTACTAATTACTGGATCTGAGCTCTGATGATGGTTAACTGTAACATCTCCCAAACATCGGCTTTCAAACACAGCTCAAATGACTATGTCCAGCAAATGAGAAAACGAATATACAGTATTTACAGTATGTACAGTATGTTGCTTGTACAACACTCAAAATAATATGCAGCAATGAAAACTTTCTATATGGAGTTAAATAGTTTACATTGTGTTATAGTTAAGTGCAGCTCAAGATTCTTGACGAATGATTCTTTCAAGAGAAGGAACCTTAAGTTTACATTTTGATTTTTTTATGGGTAAGGGTCAACTGAATTTATATTTTCAATCATAATCCATTTCCTGAAGTATTATGAGTAAAAGTATACACAATAAACAAACTGTGCTACGGATAGCAAGAGTTTCTTTTAAAAATCAGTTATAAATGAATAGCAACGCATATTTATTTATATCAAATATCTACAGGTTATATACCATTACAAATTAACATTTCCATCCAGTAAACAGTAACAAATTACTAGTATCGCTCTAACTAAACTATCCAAACCTGCCCTTAGGCATTATACGACGTGCCACAATCAATCCCCAAGTAATTAGAAACTTCTGGTTCTAGAGCTTAACTCGCGTTACCGCTGACCCATTTCCTGTGTAGAAGTTGTCAAGTTGTCTTCTACTTCAGTCTATGTCGTTGTCTTATGTATGTCAGGCGTTGATTAAATAGTGACACGCTTCCTAGTTTCTCCATCTGATCTTACTCATGTAAATATGGCAAATTAAATTACCTTTGAAACACTTTACATCTTAAAATATTTCAACCTGTTTAAAGGGTTCTAGGGTAACAAAGCCTAAATACAATCAGTTTTGCTATAAAGTCTGTTACAGCACTAAAAGTTTTAGTAACTTATACATCGCAGTAGTATTTTTTTTTAATATACATACAAAATTTTCTCTGCATTAGGAAATTTAGTAAATTAACGATTGGATATTAACAAAGAAAATCAACAATTGTCTTTCATTTAGTTTGTAAATCTTTTATTCGTAATAAGATACTTCTAAGTTAAACATTTTAAAAATATCATATAATTTTTAATAAGATTTGTTGTACCATTTTTTTGTGTCTACATCAAATTTGTCAAGAGTTGGACATGATATGACAGATTGTGTTTACACACGATTTCAATTCTTTTGTTGATAGCACACACAGGCAAAATGTTTAGTGTTTATCCCAAAGCTCATTCTGTACTGTCAGTGTCAGTTGTGTTCTATTTTAAAAACAGTACCTGCCGTAGCACAATAATTTGTAAGTTAACAAAATCTTAATAAGCATCTACCCAACTTCTTTTCTGTTTGAAAATATAATGATTTACTTTATTTATCCACACCAGTGGCACTTATTAACGTTTTTAGGGAACGGTCCAACCCTGATCTTGTTATTTGTTGTCGACCTGTTGTTAGAAATCATTAATAATCGGTAGCCCAATTACAAGTTTCAACTGGAACTACTGATAACGATATTGTTTTGAATCGAATCAGATTTGAATGCGAGCACTACAATCACTCAGCCACCCAAACAATGGTCTTAAAATTAGGCATTTCAAAGGTTATCTTCAGAGGAGGTATAACTAACATCTTTCAAATATTTGAATGTCATACAAGGCGTTTAACAAGACCTTTTTTTTATACAAAGTGCTTACTTCATACAAAAATCGTGTGGTTTTAGTACTCGCCAATCAGATAGTGGCTTGTTCGACCTTGCAAAAAGTCAGTATCTTTTGCTTTTTCCACACTTGACTCAGAACTTATGTATTTGATCAAATGATCCTTGCTAAAGAAACAGGTGATTTTAGTCAAACGTCCTTACAGATTGTCTTAGACAACAAAGCACAATCACATCAATCACTATACTCCGTTCACAAAATGTAGACGGTTTTAGAGAAAGATCTATACCCTCCACGTCTTGATCCTACTATGAAAACTTAGCTTAACAACTGAGATTTGTGAAAACGTCAATCACCTGCCACATACCTCTCTCATCTTTGTCTCGTTTACGCTTTCAAATATACGCCCTCGTGTGTCAACGTTGGGCACTTGTGATATAATATAATAGTTGTATTTTTGCTACCAACCTAAATCTACGTCTACATGTATATTTTGTTTATATTGGCATTAATTAGCAAAACCATTATTTTTCATAACTAAACATTCGCTGGTGTAGGTGGATCCGTCTGATCGGTTTGGACGTGTTTTCCACCGGACCCGACCAACCCCCACAGCTGTTCTGGGTCCACCAGGGATGGAGTGACAAGGACACCGCCTGGAGGGTGAACACAACCAACGGTCATCTATCCTGGGAGCAGGAGTACGTCGCCAGCGGCACCGTGCTGGATCCTGAGACGGTAGAGCCTATTTGCCAACTTAAGAGAAGCTAAGCCATAGACCAACCAACACAAGTAGACTTCTCAGCCCATTGTACATTTTGATGCTCGGTTTTTTTTTAGTTAATTTACGGTGACACTGATCGCTGGGGTTTACAATTTTGAAACTGAATTTTTTTATATTATTTTAGAGTTAATTTCGTTTGGTTGTTACTAACTACTAACTGGTTGTTTGGTTGTAACTAAGGGACTAGTTGTTTGTTATGATTAAATCTTTTTATTTGGTCAAACGAGATTTTAAATGACCAAAATATCAAAAACTAACAATGAACTGGACAGAGCTAGCAATAAAATTGGCTTTAGCTGTTCCATAAGGATGACAAATCTACTAAAGGAGTATGTTTTATCTATGGATAAATAATCTAATGTTTACTTGTAATGCTTTTGTTAAGGATAGCAGGCTTGCCAAAAATGTGTACTATGAGCCTAAGTCTTAGCCTCAGCCTTGGTCTTAGACTAAGCCTTAGCCTTAAGCCTTATCCTTAAGCCTTAGCCAAAAGGCCTCATCTTTGCCATTTCCCTTGCTTTAGCGTCAGCCTTAGTCTTTGCTTTAATTTAAATGGGAATAAATAAGTCTTTAAAAACCAAACACTTTAAACCCAAAATTGGACGTAAAGGCATCTCTCTCAAACTCAAACCTTCTTTGTATGATCTTATCCACATTTTTTTTTACTTCTATAAACAAAACTACTTACTTTTATTTATAAAAACTTTTGTAAGGACAGCGGACTTATATAAACGAGAAGGAATCCACTCTGACACCAGAAACACTATACTTTAGTACTACCATTTAGAACTATTTCTCTCCTAATCAAACATTTCTTGGATTTGGGTATACTAAGTGTGACTGCATTTTCTCAATTTTTGTGCATAGTGTAAAGATGTGTGTTTCTTGCAGCAGAGTAAACTGCCATTGAGGAACACCATCTATCCTTAGAAGAATACTATTTTTACTTAGTACAGATTCTTACAGCATGCCCCATTTTCAAATTTATGTCTGCTCTTCCCTGTGTGTTTTTTTTATAAACATTCCACTGAAACTCACATATCCATAGTATTTCTTTTTTTTACTCAATACCTTCACAGAGTTTTCTAGAAACTACACTATGTAATAAAATAACAACATCCAACAATGAAATATTGCTTGTATTTTTTTATGTTTTCATGTTGACAGGTTTTACTATGCCGTTCAACCTCAAGTATTAGTTCAATAATAAACATTTTTTTTCAGAGGATCTGGTGTGTAAAAGTTTACCATTCTGACGTACAAAGAAGACCCAAGTACCTAGACTTTGAGGAGGACCCAGTTCCTTCTTCGAGTGAAGCAATGGCAATAGCAAACTGGACTGTGATAAAATCTGATGGCTCGTCTTATATTTTGACAAGCCAATCTTGGCTTGGATTCCTCTATTTAGGAATAGCTGTGGCTATTCTACTTCGACCAATGTAAAAAACAAACTAATTATGAATACAAACATTTTGTAAATAAAAGCTGAGTTAAAAGAACTAAGTCATCGTGTGTAGTCATAAAATAATAAAAAAATACAGCCACAATAAGTGTAGTGCCGAACTTGATTCACAGCCTCAAACCTGTATTTATCATTCAAGTATGAACATTTTAAACAATTAAGTCAACACTATTTCATTTAATGGTTACTTAATATGGCGGAGTTAAAATTGGCATTTGTCTTCATGTAGCAAAACACCAACTGGTCTTAATTGAATACTGTGGCATGGTTTACAACATTACAGATAGGTTAATTTAAATTTTCTCACCCTATACGTATATGGAGAAGGCATTGTTTTCGTCAAAATGTTCGAGTTTGAGTTTTGGGCGACCACAGAAAGGTATTTTTTTTTAATTGGGATATAACAAATACCTAAAAGTTAATGTTAAATCATGCCTAAAAAACTGTTTGAGCAAACTACACAATGACAATAGAGATTATTTGTGGTGACAGAAGCTATCAACATATCAAATATTGATACCAGATAGCAGTGGGACGAATCACAGTGGGGTGGTCACAAATGATAACAAATGTGGAGCTGGCTGCGTTGTGCAAACGGTAATATTGCTAACAAGGACTTATTGTTGTCTGTATCCTGGGTTTACCAAGTAATGTTGGCACTGACGGTGAACATCAACCAGGAATATTCTAAATACCGACTACAAATTTGACTCCGTATGAACTAAACAGGCCACATAATGTTCTGTGGGCATTTATCAACAAACTATGTAATTATAACTATGTTGGATTCGTTTATCCTTATTCACTTCACTGAAATAAAATTGTTTTAATCAAATAAAGAAGCTTAAATATTACTCTAAGGGTTGCATAGCTGAAATTAATGCATTTTATTATAGTATTACTTCTGTCTAAAATGTTTTTACTTGATTGGATTATGTGTGACTTATGATGTTTCAAGTCAATAAGAGAGAAATTGTAAAATTATGTTTGTGAATATCTATTTTAAGTACTTTAAGCAACACAAAAATCAAAGGTATATAAATTACCATGTAATATTAATATATTTTGTTTACAAGAATCATTATGTACATTGTTATTTCTCTGTATCAGAGATATTAGAAACACTTTTCCTTCAACATAAGTAATTGTTTGGTTTATTTTAAACAATTAACAATTAAAAACGAACAGCTATACCAGTGTTTTTCCCAGTTTTAGCAATAAAAAATTAATTGAATATTTTAATATTTATAGTAAAGTTGTATTAAGTACCATAGTCGTTAAGTTAACAACCTTTTATAAACTATCCCTCATAACCTTGTTCGTATTTTTTTAAATTTATCAGTTAAAAAATAGTAGAGTATAATATAAGTTCAGAGAATCCTTTTGCATTATTTATAGAATCTTTGATAAATATTAATTGGTTAAGTAATTATTTTTTTGTAATTTCCTAGTTGTTCAAGTGGCCCAGACGTTTCGCCACCTTGCTTTTTAAGCTGAATAGATTTGCTTTCGATGATGTGATGCTTCGTATGAGAAAATGCAAGGTTGTCATATATAAATTTCTTTGAGAGAGTGTTTAGCAAAATAATTTATATAAGATGCGTTAAAGTTAATTATAATAAATTTTTATTTGAATAAATCACGTGAATCCTTCTTATGTGATGACATCTTTGAATATATTCTAGTATTTTATACAAAACAGACTGTTTGGAAATCGTGGAGATAAGCCATAGCAACATGAAAATAACACCTTACCACAAGACCACAGCAAAGGTAAGAAAGAAAATATTCTTCTAAAACCCAGTGACATTTCCCTCAAAACCCCCGTAGCACATAAGTGCAAGACGAGCAAACTGAATTTCATGGAAGTTACAGTATGGATGGGGGTCTATGGGAGGATACTATATGAATCGGTCTGCTGTTAAAGTGCTGAAGTGGGTTTCTGTGTTTGGGAAACATCGGCAAAGACATATCAGCACTTACGCCCTTTGGTCGTTTGGATAATGTCGGGGTTCCACTATAGTCGACGTCCTAGCCAACCTACTTTTCGACAAAACTACTAGGAAATATTCGTGAACGGGTTTTTACGATTTTCTACCAGATTCTTTTAAAGAGCTTTCAGTGGAATGGTTAAATTTACCAATGTTAAGAGTACGACATCACATTGAATACATTTACCGAAAGAAAACTAATGTGTTTCACTTTTAAAAACTGTGACGTATTGTTAACTTAAATTGGATTAAGCTAATACGCTATGTTATGCGTCAACAGCATATGATAATTAAAGTTAAGTTATATGTTTCTTTTATCTACTGTCGAAGTACGTAAAATAATTATGAGATGTTTTTAACTTATATCTTAGTATTGGTTACATCACATACAAAATTACCCACTTAGGGTATTAGTTACAAAAACATGTCAAATTATTATTGTACATGAATACAATTTCTTTAAACACCCTGAATGCACCTGTTTAGTTCCTACACAGTCAAGGTATGCAATTTTATTTATAAATAGTCTACTAATGTACAAGAATAATCATTGTTGGGGATCAAAATAAAATCAACATCCTGTTCATTTCCAACCAAGATAGTGCAGTTAGGTAAATTATAAAACTAGGTATTTCCATAATATATCCTCATGCATAATTTAATACCATATTACAGTATTAATATTTAAACCCCTCCTCTACAAAAACATTTTTTGCGTAACGTATGTCCATCTGAAGTTACAGCCAATATCGTCAATTCAATTAATTAATAACTAATTTACATTGTTTGCAAAACACAGAGCTGCATTAACGCATTAATAAGCTAATGTAATTCCAATTATAGCTGATAACCATAATTAAATAATGCTCATCAACAGTGCTCTGATCTGATATTAAATTGGAATTTTAGTTTACTCTTAATACAAGAATATTTATGAAAAAAGAGAGTTGACGTAAAAATAAGAGTACAATTTTGTTCCTACTACTGCATGGAAATGACCACATTGCCATACCTGTAAACAGTACGCAAAATAGCTCGTTCACGATCTAGATTATACAGTGGTCGTTTCTACAGCAACCACAGGCACGGATCAGGTAAGTTAGTTAACATCAAAGAAATAAGTTGGTAAGCAAATAACGTAACATTACAAAAGCAAAAACAACCTAATTCACACTTCATATAAAAAGTTAATCGGTGTGCTATTATAAGTTAATTATGGTGGTAGGAAAATCTTGCCCGAATACACAAATAGAAATTGCCTACATCATTGTTAGTAACAAGACGTTGTGTACTTAACCCATAATGTTGTCAATGTGTGCTAACGTTTGTGTGCCGGAAACATGACACGAATGTTTGTAAGTTGATTGGATCGTTCTTGTTTGACATTCATATCTATGGATAGTCAGATTCTTAAACTTTTGCGCAGGTGTTTTTGTTAAGATAAGTTGGAATGGTCGTTTATTATAGCCTGATTTAATTCTAATTCTAAATTTTAACGTCCCAATTTTAACCATAAATTCACTATACAGGGTGTTTTTTAACTGTTCCACCATTAGGATCTTGTACACGATACATCTTACAGTAACAACATCTTAAAAGGGGAACATTCCCTTGTCTTAAAAGAGGTTTAAAAGTTGTAAATGGCCGCCATTTTCCAATATCCTTATGGAATAAGCTGTATGTTATGGTGTTTTCGGTAAGTAAATGAAAATCTAAGACTTTTTTATTCGTGAGTAAATTTTTACATACTCAACTGGTTTCGAGCTACAGAGAAATAATTTAGCCTCTCTTGCCAGCTGTTATTATTAAAAAGAAAAACAATTAAAAAAACTAGACAACTTAAAAACCACAAGAAATTGTAAATAAATGGTACGGTGAACGACAAATATTCTCAGACTGGAAGTTGCACAGGTTAGTATATGTACAGGTTAGGTATTATTATTTATTATTACAACAATGCTAGTAAACAGCTGGAAATGTAAATGTTCAATAACAGCTGTTTAGAGAGACTAAATTAAAACTTTATTATCTCTCTGTATCAAAAATTACTCAAGAATAAAAAAGTCTTCGATTTTCATTTACTATCCGAACACCATAAAATGCGTTGGTATTAAATAAAAAAAAAACGTTGTATTATTTTACAAATGGGTAATAATATTTAAGAGGCATATTTTATCATGTTTTCTTTGAATGGTTTAGTAACAAACAATGTAATTTTCAACTAAGCCTATTTCTGTTTTATTTTGTAGTTTTTTTTTATCAAAATATATCCGTTTAGTATCAGTTATTATGGTATTCATTGATATTAGTAAATGTAGTGTCAACCGAAGATTTAAATGTTTTGTTACAAACAAAATTTATTATTTTGTCTGTATAAAACTAACTATGTAAAACATCACTCTTTCGTTTCAGGTCCATTACATTGAATTGTATCGTGTGATAATCTCTTTAGAAGATAATACTGATGATAAATAATCAAAAATAAACAATTTGGTTGGTTACTGTTGGGTCGACAGGACTAAATGTATTTATAAACTAATTGTAGTTAATAGATGTATGCTTAATCGAAACTAATGGTTCAAAGTGGCTGAGCACATTTGTTTGCTTTGCTCTATAATTACATTCATCGCTTAACTAGTGTTATTATTGTTTATTACATTATGACATTTTTTTGTAATTTGAGGATTTTTAGCTTTCTTCACCAAAAACACATAGACCGTAAGTATTAATTAATTAAGTAGTTTTGCAATTATGTTAGGTGGCACGAAAAAATACATTTATGACTTATTAGTATATTAATATAAGTTAAATTACGCTGGTACATAAATATTAATTTTTATGGGTTAGTTTCTATAGTATTTAATTGATAAACACCCTAAAAAAGTTTGACGACTTTGAAAAATCCGCAATTACAAAATATGCCCTTACAAAATACCATATTTTTTTTAAAATATCTTATCTTGTAATCTTGCTATATTGTAAAACTTTTTTTATTTTCAAGGTTCGGACAATTTTTGTAATTTTTGTTTGTTATAAAAAATCTGAATTGCTTGCAAGATTGCAAGATTTCCTGAACCATGTTTAAATCATAACGTGTTTGGATGTAAATTATATCATTTTGAGTGTTTCCCTTCCTTACTGTAGCTCAACAACGTGTTTTCCCATAAAATTGAGTTGAAGCTGATAATTTGTTATTAGATAGTTTATATTACTTATTTTACGAATACAGTATTATTATGGTTACTTAATAATATTATTAATACTTTATTATTAAGGTTAAATTATATAAATATGTATGTACTTCGAATGATATAGTTATAATATGTTAACTCATAACAATTTCACATCAATACGATTTATTTCCCAGATTAGATTTAGGTAATAAGCACCATTTCGTAAAACAAAATAATCTGTAATTCACTAATTCACTCAGGATCACTTTTACTGAACCGTGATTATTTATAAAACCTTCAAAACATATACAATTACTTTATTTAACTGGCACTACTAGAACGTTTTCAATCAAAAACATACATAATTTTTTTTTATGATTCGACAACCTAAAAACCGTTCAGATGGGTTTTGTCAAGATGTAGCGTCAAAAAAGACGCCCAACTTTATACAAACGGCCGTGGGACTGAGCTTTGAAATGCCACTGTTTCGATGTTTCCCAAACACAGAAACGCTCTTCGGTTCTTTTACTGCCAGTTCCGTTGATATTTATATATTCCTTTCAGGATACATTCAAGTACCACTCTTGCGGGAGTACAATGGAGGTTTCAAACATTTCTACATTTAGATGAAAACGTTTTGGCCTGATTTCAAGGGTTAATTAGATCGTAAGAGTAAAATATCCTAAAGTATTTTATGTATGTTGCAAAACTATTTTGAACACTGAAATTTGTATATAGTTTCAAGAGTGTACACACAAAAACACGCTGTGTGTATACAGATATTCACAAGATTTTGATGTAACTTGATAATTCGCTTCAAAAATACCTAGAATAATATGATTACCTCAGATTTGGTAGCAAAAAATAAATATTTTGTATCTCTACGTGTGGACTGACAGATTTTAATTATATCATGTTTAAAAACAGGCCAGTTCATGTGTGAATTGTTAGATTCTTTTACCTGTGATTATTAACTAAATCAAATTAACTCATTTATTGATTCAGAGTTGACAATATAATAACTTTAAAAGTTGTATTGGCTAGGCCATCATTCAATAAAGGTTGGCTTACATATACTTAAGAACTATTTACAGAAGTCTTATACAATACTAACTAATAATACAGTTTTATATATACATATTATTAAGGCTACATCAATATTTTTCGAGCTGATTTTATTTACAAATTCTTGGACGATGTAACAGGTAAACTTTATCAACAAATTAATTTTATTCTCATACAATGGTGGATTTTGAAAATATTAGATGGTTTACACAACACAAAACAACCTGTTTTCAGATTTTAAAGGTATCAAGCACATCAAGTGATATGTCAATAGTGGCAGTTACCTTCGTTTAAGTTAACGTATCTCAGAACACAAAATGAACTCACCTTCTTTGTTTCTTTACTTAACACAAATGTATGCCCACTCTGTAATAACAACACATTCCCACCGCATATTTCTGACGATCGTACCGGGTCTGTGAGACTTTTCTCTAGGCTTTGACCTTCACTGTGAACTGATAACGAAGACAGAACAACAATAAAACTTTATTGATAACAGAGTTGTACCTGATATTATACACTCTCCGTGAGTGAATGAGGTCAGAGTTTTGCGTTCATATTGCTGTGGTGAAAAACGGATTTGGATTTTTGTGCCTTTGGAGAATGCAGCATCATCTTTAAACTTTGAAGTAAGTATTGTAGAGGATAATATTAAAGTATATGTCAGAAAAAATATTTCGCATTGTAGTCCTATGATGGGCAAAATTCCATACATAATAAAAACATGTGGATTCTAATTTTCTTTTTCTCAAAGTAAATTTATAAGTAGGCCTATATAATTTAATATTTTTTATGTCTGCGTTTGGTTGAGAGCTACTAGATATTTAATCAATTTTTTTGCTGTAAAACAATCCAACACTATGGATGAGAAATAGAAACTTTGTATGGACAGATGTTTGAAATAAGTCTACGATTGTTTTTTATCCGTCTCTTACCGACAAAACTCTCACCTACCACAACTAACAATAAGCAAATATTATAATCGGCGTATTGTTTGACTTATTTTCAAATAAATTGATTATTTTAAAATCAGCTGTTTATAGAATCGCCACGGCTACAACGAGAGTGTTACATGATAAAACTCCCGCCTACCACATTTTACTATTCCATCATCGTGGCGCTTCCGTTGTTATTAGATTTCTTCATTACTCTTAGCTTCTTGTAATTAAAACAGCATATTTATGACACAAACTTTGTGTAAGCTGTTACTGCATGAATACAGCTAATTTAGTTAACCAAGTTATTCATTTGAGAAAACTATGTATGATGAGCCATTAGTCTTTTATTTAACCAGAAAGGCGAGAAATAACAAATCAGTTTTTAAGGACCATAACCCTTAATTTGACAGCGTGCCATTATTGGCACATGACGATTCAAAAAAAATGTCACGTTCGCCTGTTAACTTTTTAATAAATCCAACAAACGGCGTCCAAAGGTTCTTTGCCTATTGCTATTATGGTTTAGTGCACTATAGTGGATGTTTTGGAAATTACTATCACTTTAGACCAACATATAGAAAAGGAAGTATGGAGGCTTAGTGTAGAAGGTTAGTAAATTACTTCTTATTTCAATATTTTAGGCTGTTTATTTATATATCTAAGTGATTTGCTCAGATTAAATATGAGAAAACATAACCCAGGTCAGTAATTAGCTTAAATATGAATATTGATTTTTTTATAAACCAAACAATTTGAGTGTGACAAAAATGGCACATTGCCAAAGAACCAGGGAACAATGAAAATTTTTGGGCGTGCCAAAAATGACACATTACCAAAGATGCAGTTATTTTTTTCAGTTTATTGTGCACGCCTAAAGTAGCACACTGATTATATAATATATATAAAACAGTGAAAGGTATTTATATTTGTAAATGTATGTCTCTTATTTCCACAAATTGTAAAATAAAAATGTTTTTGCGAGGAAATATTTTTCACTAGGCTGTTTAGAAAAGACTTTGGCTTTACAAAAATCCCGACCATCCATGGCAACAACTATCTACCAAAAATTGTTTTCCGGAAAGTGAATCTTCTTATATGAAAGTTGATTGTGCATTACGATAAAGACTTTGGTACTTACAAATATTTGCTCACCGTATCGACATATCGTGGAATAACGCATTGCTGCCACGTTGAAAATAATTAAACTGAAAACAAGCAAGACAATATGTAACAAAAAAATTTAGTTATGGGATTTTTGAATCGCTAACCAAAGAAAGGAATAAAAGACAAGTTCTAAAAGACAAGGATTTACTTCTTCTCACACCAGCTGCTCTGATGTATGTTGAAGATGTACGCTTTGATGGTGTTATGGAGACTACCCTGTCTTCGTATACATCAAGAGGTCGATGAAGATTTTGCAAAAAAAAAATCGTCGATAGTGTGTTCAAAGTGCAATGCGAGGCTGTAACTGAAAGAAAATAGCAATTGTTTTGTGGGGTTTCACCAAAAGTAGATGACGTTTCTTGATGGATATACTCTAATGAAATTTCAAACAATTTTGCTGATGGGCATGACTAATGAAATATCAATAAATTATAGGATAATGTATTTTCTATTGTAATCACATAGTTATGTAGAGGTTTTACATGTGTATACATTTTAGTTCATTTTTTATAATATGACGTTTATACCATTTTATATTGGTTTGATAACTTTTGTGGAGAAATTGATTTTTTTATATCTTACATATAATTATAGCTATACAATGTTGATATCCAATATGTGATAATGTCGACTTATTCAAACCCTAAAGTTAATTTTTAAGTGCTATACAGATAAAATCGTTGTATTTAATTCAACATGAGATTCCTAGAGAAATCTCCGCATCTTTGGCAAAGTGCCAAAAATGGCACACATGAAAAAATTGTGAAAAATACTTATAGGAATTTTAAAATTATTTTTTTGAAGTTCCTTTGGACCCTTTTGATTGAACTATTCTAAGAAAAAAGTAGTTTTCAAAAAAAGATTCGTTTGCCAAATTAAGGGTTAAATACATTTAAATGTTATTTTGATTATAAATTATTTTAATTGTAATTAAGGAACTGCATCTTATTAGTTCGTAGATTGATGCCGTATTTCTGTGTTTGACTTTTTTTCGAATTATTCAGCTTTTATTTCTATACTAAAATAGCATGAGGCACGATTTTTCTATTTTTTATATAACGTGAAGGTGTAAATTATTAGTTTTTGAATATTTGGTCAGATATCTCTTAATTAAAGAGGTTTTTACTGAAGAGTCTGAAATATTTGGTTTAAACAATGAATTAATAAGCCAGTTTTTTTGATAAGGAATAAGCTTTATATCCTGTAATGATCAATGGTTTATTCAGAGTTAATATCAAAAAGTATAAGAATTGTATCCAAACTTCACATTTGTTTTCTTATCCAATCAAACAATTTTTGTACAATAGGTAAGGTGTAGCATCGAGATATCATACAATGCCATCTAGGTCTGGCCAATTTAAGTGTGACAACCAAAGTGCAACGAGTGAGTTACTTGAAATAAAATTAAAACATTCATCGATCATACGTTAAAAAAGGTAGTTATTGAACTAATTATAATAAAAGAAAGAGTGAATTTTACAGCTCTTGGTATTTTATTTTAATATCAGATCCAAGGTTCAATTTGTAATTTATCATATTGTCAATACCTTTCAGAATGAATAAAACTAATGTTTTTTTTTATCTGTACATAGATAAGCAGTCCCTTTCGAGTTGAGGGATAACATTCTGATATGCTAAAACCTGTCTAAAACCTGTCTCAGTAGCCAATTTGGTATTTATCGTGTTCGCCAACAACAGCATGTTTATGGTTCGATCTTAACGTTGAGTCACAACCTTTTTGATTATTCGTAACTGTACATAGCTGTCCGATGATTTTAAAAAAGGTCACTATAGGAACAAATATTTGAAAGAAATCTCCTATTGTTAATTGACCATCATAAAAACGAAACCCCAGAACATTTTGCAAACGCCTTCAATAAAGTGACTAATGTTGAGTATTTGCACTGAGCTAGAAATACAACTGGAGCCAACAGACTCGGCAACTCTACTAGAGACGTTGTAATTTTGTTAGGTTGGTACCAACTAGGGTAACCAACTCATTGGCTCATGGCTTTATGTAAGTACAATCCCACAATATCTTTATTCAAGTTTACTAAGTACAATCATGGTACAATAATATTCTTTATCCCCTAATACAAATGGTGGCCAACGTCACTAGTTGTATCTCCAGTTCAGTAGTTACAACATGCCCATTTAAAAAAATACAATAACATCTCACAAATCAACCATCTGTTCCAGCCAATTTCAGTAAGGCAACCACAGCAAAATGAGTGACGAAGAGAACGCTCCTCCGGTGACGACGAACTTCGAGAAGCTTCCCGTAGTCCTTGGGGTTCCTGAGAAACAGCCTCGAGACCTGGGCGTGCACAAGATAGTGTTCAACGGAAGGGATCAGCCCATCGGGGAGTACGCAAGAACTAAAGAGGGGTTGGCCGAGTCCATTACTATAGGTAACCATGGAACAAGTAGAAACAAGCCTATTTAGTTTTACTATTGTTTTTTGGATAGGGTAGATATACCGTCTAAATAAACCAACGTTGTCGAATAACCAAGCCTATCATACTAGTACAACTTACTATAAACAATAACGTATTTTAATCTTTTATGTCATATTCAACACTAAAGTTATTGAAAATTAAGTTATATAGATTGGATATACACTTCAGTAGCCAAAAGTCAATGATAGCACAGAATGCTCACATATAGCCTCTAACGAACTGTTTGATTATCAACCTCTGTGAATATCAGGCTACATAGTATTACCCTAATCATTGTTGATTGTTTTAAGAATACTAGACATGAAACTAACTATATTAGCTGCAGTAAGAAATCTAATAAAAACAAATTACATTATAAAATTAATATTTCTATTAAATGAGCTTGGCAATCGTCAAGTTTGGGTGGTATAATGTACTTCGGTTATATTTAATATGATGTTAGAATGAATTCAATGACACAAAAATCATAAAAGTATGTATATTTAAAATGCTGGAGTTAAACTCACGAAAACACATTTGACATAAACAAATGATACGATGTTTGTTTTTTCTTTAATTGTTATATTATGCAATGTAACGTACGGCCTATACAAATACAATGTGTTAATGCATAACTCTTGTTGTATACCTTATATACCTAATAGTTTAAAACATGCCTAACTTGCCTTATTAAACCAAAATATACATTTAGGGAAAACAAATTTCAAGTTTGGACCCTCAATTTTGTAAAGATACTTTTAAACATTATTATATAAAAGATGCTAATATGCCTTGTAAAATTAAGCATGGGAAATATTGAGGTTTTAAGTTCTGTAATTGGTTTTCAGTACAAGATGAATATTGTGGGAGAGAAAAGGAAGGGGAGAGAAAAAACAAAGAAGTAAGGAACAGGCTGATCTCAGCCAGCATCATCTGTTTGATCTTTATAGCACTGGAGTTTGCAGGTAATGAACAGGTTATGACTTTAAACATCTCAGGTAGGTTTGAGTGCAGCTTACAGAATACGATGAGTTGTGTTTTGTATAATACTAGTTAGAATAGTGTTTTACACAACAGGTAAGTTAATAGAAATTAATTCAAAGTTTAAAATAAATTTATTCATCCAAAATACATTATTTTGTAAAGATTGTAAAGATTTCTAGTAGATTCAAATACATGTTGTGATGGTTATTGTGCTTTAGTAAGGTGAAATGAAGTATGAGTAAAGAATATGTTGTGTATTTTATTACATTGATTTTTCAAAGCAAAGTTCCAACAACGGAATTCACATCATGAAATCCATAGTCCAACATAGTATAAGATGGGACCAAGAAAATGTATCAATGCAAGGAGAAAACAATGTTTTTGCCCTCCCAGTTTGGCATTTTACTTTAATTATTTAGGCTATATAATAAGTTTGAATCACCTGCATTTTTTAAGCCATTCAAATGTTCAAATGTATCAAGGATTCGTGTTTTAGGAAAGACTGATAGAAGAAGTAATGGTTAGATAACACACGTTACTACAGTTTTACATGATTGATGTGATGAGTCAAAGGTTAGGTTAGGTTCGTTACCTTACAAAATGTAAGTAAAACGATTCAATTAGGTTTATTACATGTATAGACATGACTATTTCACAAATACATCACCTTAATTTACATAGGACAAATTTTACTAGTAGTAACATAGCCTCTTAAAATACAAATTGGTGTGGCAACGTCGCACCGGCCGACCTATTGAAATAACAAACATGTAAATAAAAACATTGTAGCCTACGGATAAACCATTATTAATAATTGCAACAGCTGTTTCAGTAGGCCAGTACTGCGGCGTTGCAACTTTTTCCTACAGTTACCTAACAATGTACATGTTCTCTCACTGAATTGAGAAATCAAAGTGGCCAATTCGCTCATCAGTGAGACAATGTTAACATTGTCTCACTCTAATTACTTTGTCTCACTCCAGATTTGCAACGTGAAGGCACGAAATAGTGAGCGCGTAACATGCAAACAAGGTCGTATGCGTGCGAAATACGTTGGCAGCACTGGCTGTAAATCAGCTGGTCAGCTGTTGTATTGTTGTATTTGTTACTTCACATTAAATGTCATATTAAAAGATCACTTCTGTGTAAAAATATGTTACGTTTCTTTACCAATTTATTTGTTTTATGGTAACTGTAGGAAAAATATAATGTGCAACTCGAGTGCAAAGTGCAATTGCCTCACTCGAGAAACCATTCCTCACTCGCCTATTTCTCTCGAGTGAGTCAATTGCTCCCTTTGCTCACTAGTTGCACAAATAACTATTGTCTCGCCGCGGCCTTTGGAGAAGGCCATGGTAGCAACCCTTTTCTGGAGAATATCCTATTGCCGATTCAATGTTATTTGCATACTAACAAGTCTTCCATTCTTGCAGGAGGTTACTTCTCCAACAGTTTGGTTATTGCGGCCGACGCCGCCCAGTTGCTAACCGTCTTCTCTACTATGATGGTGTCCTTGTTCGCTATCCGGGTGTCAGGCCGTCGGCCTAATTCGGCCTCAGGCTTCACCTGGTACCAGGTGGAGGCCGTGGTAGCTCTAGCCTCCGTGCTGGTCACGTGGGTCCTCACCAGCATCGTCATGTACGTCGCCTACCAGCGGCTGGTGAAGGAGAAGTTCGAAATCGACGTTGATATGATGTTGGCCACCTCGGCGTTCGGTGTTGTAGCTAACTTAGTGTAAGTAAAGAAATTTCCCACTATTTTAAGAGATTTTCACCACTGTACCATGGTGTCCACTAGCTCATCAAGGCATTCAGTTAAACAAGGCTAAATACCTGTAGTACTGTTGGTCCATTGTTTGCTAGCGACGAGGATGTCAAACATTAAGGTTCATTCTCAAGCTGACGAAGTAGTTTGAAAGATCCTCTTCATACTTGGAGCTATGAAGAGTCATCACAAATTAGCAAGAACAAGATTTTTTCAATTTGGCCAAATTGAAATTCTGACATGTGGACACATAGTGTAGCCGCCAGAAGTGATGATTAAGCACGCTTCGTTACTCTAGGTTTATTTTTAGTTTAGAAACCTTGATCGCTAAACAAAAACTAGATAATTGACAGTACAACTATTTAACCTTTTTTGTATAAAATCTTGATCCAGAGACTAAACCTTGTTCCCAAACTAACTTTTGCGTATATATAATTTTGCTACCAAGGCATTCCGCGTTGGAGCTATAGTGTAAGGCTTGATCCTAACTGTTTCTACAAAATAGAGATAAGGAGTTTTCCCCAACTCATTGAGGGCAATGGTATTTTCACCATAAATGTTGTCTGGGTAGAGGAGAGGTCGTCTTCAAATTTGAAGGACACTAGACCGATCCTAAGCAGGTACGATTCGGACAAGATAACATCTGTCATTGTTCTTTGAATTAATGATGTCATCAAAACAGTTGGATTTAGAGATTAGCAAAACTTAGGTTTAGAACGGTCCCTTATAAATTCTACTTGCGTAAACACATTTCACAATTATAATAAAACGTACATAGCAAATTGTTCTTATAACACCAAAGAAGTTAAGCATCTATTGAACTAGCTCTGTATTAAAAAAAACCTTTTGGAAAATTGGTGAAGTGTTACATAGCTAACATTGCTTTCCTGCAATCCTAAATGATTCATGATTTTAAAATAAGGTATTTTAGAGTTATTGTGTTTTTAATCTATAACCATTTCTTAACAACAAAATCTATAATTATTATTTAACCCAGATTATATTCAGAATCGTTAAAGCCATCGCTATTAAGTGGAATACAGATGTTATCCTTCTACTTAAAAAATGTATTTTTACTAAAACCTTGCTTTGGGTGAATAACTAAAGCTCCCACTGCATGAAGTAGGTCCCTACTAACACAATTTATTTACAATAGGTGTTGCTTGGTCAAATACGACTTACACAAATACCTATGCAGGTAAGACAATCATCTTAAACTTCCTTAAACATCCTCAATAAAATTATGTTGAATATTTTATTCACCATCAAACGATTTTCTTAGTACCAAGATTTCCTTAGAATTTTGGAATATTAAAAGTAGTTATCTTAAATAATCTTACCACTGAGAGAATGTAATTTCTGTAGCAATCCTAAATCAGTTATTCATCCGTTAGCTTATAGGTATAAAATTATAATCAAAAAAAGTCCATCGGTGTATTAACTGAAATGCAGTGTATGAAAATCCTTATTACTGAGATAGCTTGAGAATTAACAGAGTTTGTTGTCACTTTTGCGAAACAGATAGTATAACATTTAATTGAAAATATCTGTTGCAAAGTGGAATGAGCTTTAATCTGAAGTATTAAACTTTTGTGTAGGAAGTTTAACTTTGATCTATGGAGTTTAACTTCTTTCAAGAGGGTATAATAAACCATTTACCTTTAGTCTACAGACATGAATTTTAGTCTTGAGGACTGTACGTTAATCTAAACTTCATTCCAGAGGGTTAATCTTCAACCTAGAGCGTTTAACTCAACAGCAGAGTTTAGCATTAGACCAAAAGGTTCCACATTACTCTAGACGGTAAGAGTTGAACTTTACCCTACAGGGTTAAACAGGGTCTGTTTAAACTATCCTTAGAGGGTTAAACCTTAAACTGAAGGGGTGTGTACTTTAGTTTACAGTTTAAAGTTAGCCTAAAGGGTTGAGCTTTTGTTTAGAAGTCTAAACTTAAATCTAGATAGGGTAGCCTGGAGGAGTCATCTTTAGAGTGTTTAACGTATACTCTTAGCAATATGGGAGTGCCCATGAACATGTATTTACCTGGCGTTCCCATAATGCTAAAGTTAGAAGTGCATAGGGTTGAATTTTAGATGGTCAAAGCGTAGTCTAGAGGAGTGAGCTGTAGAAGGTTAAACTTCAGTGTAGAGGGTTAGGGGGGTTAAAATGGGTTAACTTTAGTAGTTGATCGTTGTTCCAGGATGGGGATGGTTCTCCACAACAACTGTCACGTCCGTAGCTGTCACGGAGTCCACGACCCCGCGGAGGCTCCCATCGTAAACGTCAACGTCCGAGCGGCCTTCCTCCACATCGTCTGTGACTTCCTCTTCAGTTTGGGGGTGTTTATCACGGCGCTCTTCATTGACTGCTGTGTGAGTAACCTATCAACCTCTTAAAAGATCACTATCAAATAAGATTTTTTTTAAGTTGAAGCTCTGTGTTTCTATGAGAGTATCTTTAATCTAGTTCTTCTTCAGTTCGGGATGTTCTATGAAGGTACTTGTGATCGAGTGTTGTATGAATATAATCCTGTAAAACTCCAAATTTGGAATATATCTCCAAGAGCATAGCTATCAAGAAATCTTTCTTCTAAGTTTAAATTCTGCATTGCTGTGTGTTTTTAATAGACTTCTTGTTCAGCTTAGGGTTTTTTATCAAGGTACTCGTCATCGTTGTGTAACAAAATATCAACATAAAATGTGAACATATCTCCTTTGACATGGCTATGATATAAGATTTCTTTTAAGTTTGTGTTCTGTTTTTATTCAGTGTTTTGGTATAAAACGAATTGCTTTCTCAAAATGTAAGTAAAAAATCCAAATGAATGTGGAAAAAAATATGGTGTTTTTTTATGCCATAGAGACAGCCGTTATTTACTCAAACGTGCCATCAACTTTAAATAAAAATAGGGATTAATTTAAAAATCGTTGTTAAATTCTAAAAATGTCTGTAGAGGCTAATTTTGCAGCTGTGTTTACCAAAGGGGTGTCAAACAAAACTTTAGAATCTCCCCTTTCAATTAATTCTCATTCCATGATACTAGATTGTATATAGATTGTAATAGGGTTGTTTTTCATTTATAGATTTTAAAAAGTGTAACAATAACTTATAACCACCCTGTATTATAATCTCACTATTTTAAATAATAATTTTAAATAATTTTAAATACGATGAAACATAATGTTACTTGATTCAATCTACAATAAAATCATAGGTAAATTTGATCCAAGCGTATAGTTCCCAACTCAATGCATTCTTAATAGGTACTTAATAGGCACTTGTATGTTATTACATAAATATGCAAATAGAATAATCAGGTATCAATTCAACTCCCATAGAGACAAGACTACCTGATTCCAACTTCAATTTATGCTGCATCATAAATCATGCTTTGATTTAATGGTGTAGTAATTCTTATGAAGCCCAATATTGATATCTGAGACGATTACAGGTGTATAATCTACTTAGCTGCTCTTCTTCTGTTTCCTCTCATGTATTGTTTTCTAACAGTTTGATTATTTTTCAGCCCGAATGGCACATAGTAGATCCCATCGGTACCTTGGTGTTTTCCGCTATGGTGCTGGTAATTACTCTGGCTGTTTTGAGAGATGTTGTCAACGTTCTCATCGAGGGTAAGCCTGAGGATTCTAAAACAAAAATGAAGAACCATAGCCTCCTTTAATACAAGGCCGCGGTGAAACTATTGGCAATACCGCTGTCCTGGCAAATCGGAACAGCTGTCGTACTGGTTTATAACGTTCATACGTTTGTTATTACTGTTTTTGTCATGGCAACAGGCCGGCCGGAGCGTGGTTGCCACTCACCAACGCCACGGAAATGTATTAGAGGAGGCTATGGATTAACCTGTTGTTTGAGCAAGTAATAAATTAATGACACATTTATTATTGTGGAGTAGTCTGACTGAGTTGACCCGTAATTTTAAATAATGTTGAATGTTTAGGAATGGTTGAGATTATTTGAATTTTTATTTTGAAAAAGTTGTATTCTCAAGTTAAATCGCGAAATTAATTTAAATCAATACAGTAAATCCTTTCTCAAGCCTAAACCAGTATAGAAAATGTGAGGGTGTGTTCCTTCTTCCTCATTATCAGGGTGTGTTACTATTGTCCATATGATTTTAAGTTCATCTCCAGGCTACATGGAAATAAGGTACAGAGGCAAAATTCAATGGTACACTTAAGTGGTGCCTAGCACTAGTCACTGGTGTCTAGATTAAAGTCCAACAACTCCCCTTTGTCTTCATGTACCACAACGCTCGGTAGAGGAAGACCCTGTACCCTGCGCAATAGGAATTTTCGCACATCACTTGCCGTTCCGGCTCTTCCTTGGTCGTCACAAGTTTATTTTCCACACAAAACACCGTACTAAAACTGAAAGCACACGGTCGTCTCATAAGTAAGATACCTCTGTACCGTACTTCTCTGTTACTAGGCCTAGTGGTCTCGGACTTCAATGTGGAAGGGACAAGTTCGATTCCCAGCACATCCACAAAAATTGGAGAGGTTTACCCGCTTTCCATTAAAAGAATTGAAATTTATTTCATACAAAATGCAATTGACAGAGAACTAACTAGTTATACGATGATGAAATTTGTTCATAGGAATGCCTAAAGGAGTTTACTTCAACGACGTTCTGAAAACATTCCTGACCATTGATGGGGTTCAACAAGTCCAGGACTTGAAGCTTTGGGCTCACAGCCTGGACAAGATCGCACTGTCTGCTCATCTTACGATCCGTGAGTATAAACAAGAACATTAGTTAGGCCTTCCTATTTAGAGGAAAGACTCCTTTTTTGTCCCGTACACGTTTGTGTTCAACTCAGTGTTTGCGTAGATGCATCGCTGCAAGCATCCAAAAGTCTGCCACTATAGTTTGTTCAAATTACAAAGGCGGTCAGAGAGGTGGCCTATCTGCGACCAATGAATGAGGTTTGTCTTCATTGGCTGTAGGTAGGCCCAATTCCCGAGCGCCTTCGTTATTTGAATGAACATAACCATAACCTTCGCAAAGTCAACAGCAGGGCAATTTCTTAGAGACCAAGAGAGATTACCCTGGTCGCAACAACCGACCGTACTTTGACCGTGGAAGCCACCAAGATTGCGTTCAATTCAGTTAAATAGAGGATAAATCAGGCTTAAAATAGGATATTTTACAGTATATAAACTATTTTGAGAAAAATAACATTGTTAAAACAATGTTATTTTTCTAGGATAAATCTCTAGGATAAATCCTAGAGCTTTTTAAGCTTAGATATATTTAACATTTTTGCCGCATTCGTCAACATTATATTTGTAATATTTTTCAAACTTTATCTTAATCTCATTCATTACATTAATTTTGCTTGTTAACGATTGTTCCTGGAAACTGTAATCAAAATAATCCAATAAACACTTAATGGATGATAAAGTACTGCTTAAAATGCATATTGTAGAATTATAAATTAATCAGTTACAAAACATATATGGGAAATATGATTAAAATGGTACAGCGTCTTATAAATCCATTAATTGAAATTGCATCAGCTATGCAATAATTGTTTGATTTTTGCTATCTCATTTCAAATGAGAATTCAAAACTAATTTGAACTACTCGTTCAACTACTTGGCGCAAAAGTTATGGTGATTAAAGTTGATTTAGTTATCTTTAGTGGAGTTATTAAGCTATTAAACGTATACGATTTCGATAAGTCTTGGACCTATTTAAACTCAACCTATCGATTGTCGTAAGTTAAGATATGATTTTAAACTTCGGATTGCTAACACGTACATTTACATCAACCATCGTAAGTAGTAATAATTCCTGGTATTTATTTAAAGGTGAAATGAATTCATTGAGTGTGAAATAAGGCTGTTAAAAATGGGTCATCATCAGGAGATGAAAACAAACTAGGTACTAATTAAATGGCATACTTGCCCTAGAACTTTAGGTTAACAACTACATCATTTGTTTAGCTGATTTTAACAGTCTTGTCTCAAATTATGTCAACTGAAAAGAACTGTTATAATTTCCTTGATTTATTGCAGTTTTGAATACATTCCGGAAATTTCTTGGTTTTTTCTATTCTCTAATGTATTTTCAAACGTATTTGGGGTTTTATTCATTGTTATATACCTTGTTGGACATATTTTTCTTAAGCTCTTTGCTATTTTTTCTGTCTTTTTTATAAGTGAGCTGTACAATCGACCTTACACTGTAGGTAGTGTGATCGTTGTACTACATTGTTTGTGTTTGGGGAAAAACAGGTCCAGGAGTCGATCACAACGAAGTCCTCAAACTGGCTTCCAGGAGAATCCACGCCAAGTACAACTTCTACGAAATGACATTGCACGTCGAGGCTTTCCAAGAACAAATATCAGCTGATTCTACATTGGAAAAGAAATGAGGCATGTTTAATGCTTCACTTTTGATTCTGATTTGTGCTATGAAATAAATTGTACCTGGATTTCAATAAATAACTGTTTAGACATACACTATTTTTGTGTATTATTACAATCTCGGTTATATGCTAGAGTTATTGGGCCTTGAAATGTATTTTCGCAAATTCTAGTAACTGGACGTAGCTGAGAAAATAATTTTAAAACTAAAAATTCCATTCATTTGGTCTGAAATCTTTTTTAAGAATCAGAGCTTAGCTTGTTGTTTTATATTGTTTACATTTGGATTTCTTTATTTATAAAGTAACTATTTTTTTTAATCAGTGGACATACTAATAGCTACAAACTAACTTATCATATACTCTATCAAGCATACTCATTACCCAGTTTAAAACATATCTCTGCTAATCCCTCAAATCCTCTCAATGTAAAAGTTGCTTGAATATTATAGAACACTAAAACTGAATTATTGAATTTTGAATATAAAATTAAATGAAAGAGTTTGATGGTTAAAATTTTAAGGATTGTGTAGGTTAAATTTAAGTTTAAGATGGTTACTCCTACTTACTTCTAATAAGCGCTGAACAAAAAGTCTGATAATTCTGTACAACAATTGTAATAATGTTGAATAACAAAATCTTATAACATTGAAGAAAAAGTCTTATAATAATATTGTACCGCAAATCATATGGAAATACATAAGTTTGGAATGTAAACAATTATATCTTGAATCACATGCACTATTAAGAGAAATTTGTGATTTTTTTACTTTAAATCTGCATGGCCTGTAATATTATCACTGTAATTTACTTGTTAATAATTAAATTCTTTAACACGGGTGGCAGGTTTTTTGAGTAATTTAAAAATGTAAATTCACTCATGGTAGATAAATTTTGTAGATTGTTAATCTTGTTTGGGAGAATTAGGTTGGCTACCGGGCAATAAGTATGGATTAGTCCCTATCGCACCACACGGGGAAAACCGCTAACATTTGTAACCATTTACAACTCGCTAACATACCTTGTTTATATGTTTTGGTCAAAACAAAGTTGGAAAAAACAAAAACAAATGACAGGTGAACATTAAATTTATGCTGTTTACAACATTTGCTAATAATGTTTCCTAGTGTTATATGTGTTTTCAATGGTGGGATGTGTAAAATTTAACTTTCTGTAGTTGGACAAGTTTTAAATCATAATCTTTCTTTAAACTTCTCTGAAACAAGTATATGCAGATTACTTTAGTTGTCACATTTACACCTTTGCACCAAGAAAATATTAAACAATTCAATTCTTTTAGATATTCTTTTACATGCTTAATACACTTACAGTATTCATTTTACTCAACCAAATGCATAGTTTTAACTTCAACAGTATTCTATAGTGGACTAATAATGTACTGTATTATGAAACCAATCTAACAATTGCATGCATCAAACAAAGTTATCTAGGGAACTATCACTGATAATATCGATAGATAATAATTGAATAATTAATTGTATCTCACACTGAACCGATTACAATGAAACCCTTTCTTTTAATTACAGACGAGGTGTTTGAGTTGGCTTACAAATAATTTATGATCTTTTATCTGGATTCTAATTGCAATTAATTATTCAAATCCTCTTACATTGAAGTTAAACGTGAGATATTTTAGGAAGGTCAATAGGATAGAAATATTTCAGTTTATATAACATCGTGTCAAAAGATAAGTGTTTTGCACGCTGTGTAATTAAATCCTTTACGCCTAACACATTTTTATTTATTTAGTTTATTGTCCCATAAGTCACAAATAAATTATTCACAAAACTATCTATGTTCCGATATATTGTTGGTGTTAGTGAAGGATTTCCGGATGTTTGAAGAATGTTTGGCTATGGTACAAGAAAGGAAATAATCTATTTCCTTTGCTGCTTTCATAACACATATGATTTTGAATGTGTTCCAGCTGTTTATTTAAATTAGCATACCACTACTATGCTAACCATCACAATTTGGTACATTTATTATCTGTTACCCTCACTAGCTTTGTATAAGTTTAAAGGCAAATAAATTGTATAAGTCGTCTTTGTTTTTATAGTCTAAAATGTAAATAAGATGTCCGTAAACATTTCAGATGCAACAATATGCTGGTCATACGTTCTACCTTAGTTGTATCAAACCAAGTATAATATTTCAAACAATATGGTTAAACTATTTTTCTACTTAAACACGTTGCCGTGTTTAGTGTAATTAATTGCATGATCATTACCTAAACTTTCTTTTCTCTATACTTCCCCGTTTAAAAATTACCATTTCCACTGTCACTACCCGGACATCCAAAGTAGTGTTCTAAGTCATACATTAGTTTTTCATTTATCACGTTAATTATTCTGTCTTAAATGTTTTCAAAAATTAATCTCCATGCAATTACCTTGATGCAGCATTTTTTACACACGCTCACACTTTTTTACATAACCATTATTGTTTGAAATAAATAAGGTAACAAAATTAACTGAATGAATGAATTTAAAGCTGTCACTTTATAAACTCTACCATTTATATTGTTTCCCTTACAAATTTGTATCATTATTGTCAAAATCCAGCCGTTTAACGTGTTCCCACCATATCACCATATCAATTAGAATTTGGTTCATGAATCTTCAACGACGCATCTTATGTGTACATGTTTGAACATTTTCTTGAGTAAATTGCCATTTCAAATAAATAAGCTTAACACCGTCAATTGAACAGGGAGCGTCTAGTGGTAGTGCTCGGGGCTTCAGAGCCTGAGGTCTCGGGGTTCAAATCCCACCAATCACCAATTTGTTTTATCTATGTTATAATGCCGCAACCCATCCTCTTTAGAGCTTTAGAGCCTTTTTTTAGAGCTAGCTTGATGTAATTTGTAATACTTAGAGTTCTAGGATATGAATGAAGGTGGGACATGACAAAAAATAATAAAACAGTCAGGCAAATATATTTATTGTGGTAAAACATTTAAATTTTACCATGCCTTTTAAGGCCAATTATTGTTTTATCCTGTTATTTGTTGTTTCCCTTTGTTATTTGCTGTACGTATCAAAGCACCATAGGGTATTTTGATATAGATTGTGCCTTTTGAACCAGCTTTAACACAATGTAAACAACAATTTCCCAACGTAAATAGAGTTTTGTGATCCGTTTGATACATTATCGCTTACACCGACACTCTGTAAATACACTTAGTCTCCTTGACAAATAAAATTTTGGAGATGCAATATTCAAAGTATCGCCAGAACGTAAATAAATCAAATCACACAATATTTTTTTTCCATTTTCAACAATGTAAATGTCGAACCATTAAAAATCTTCAAAAACAAAATGCATTTATAGCCCAGAGATGATAAAGCATTAACTGTTAACAGCTCCAAACAAACGGTGAATTAGTACAAAATATACAGAATATTAAAATGAATAACCACTTATTTATCCATAAATATCGTGAATTCAAACAATTCTACTAAGTTGTCTAACATTTTCAAATAAAAAGTTTATATTCGTAAGAAATTTTTAATTTAGATCAGAACAATCTGTTGGGGCATCACATCAACTACGACAATTCTGAGGGGAAAAAATCGGGTGACAGATTTAACATAGGTAACATTTTACATGCCAAACATTTTACTGAAATACTGGGTGTAATACACATAACTATGCTCACTTACTTGCATTTTTACTGTTATTGAATATAAAAAGGCACCATTTCGTTCATTTTAATCTCAAAATCAAACCTAGTATGAAATTCATTACAGTTAAAGTGTAAACTTAAATACTGTTAAATTCATAATATCTTACAACATTTTGTTTTCAAACCAGTACCCAGAATAAGTTGTAAGGGTTTAACTTTGAGCCAAGCTGTTACTGATAATTGGGGTTTAAATTAATGACCTGAACGTTCCAGTCGTTATATGATCGCCTTGACTTCTCGGTATGAAACCCACCATTCTAAAGCTGCTACATCGATGACGCATTTAATTATCTCAAAATACACATGATCAATTGGGAAATATGGTTACCGACTATTCATTGTTAAGTTTTCTAAGATATTGTTAGCGGAACAGTATATTTTTGATTGTATATTCAATTGTATCTGCGTGTATGTGATTTTATCGGTTTGATCTAGATAAGACCACTATCAAGCCACAAAAATTAAGTCAACCACAAAGCGAAGCACCGTTATCAAAATCTATACTTATTTAATACGCAAGCAGGTTTTTTGTGACAATTACTCCTCCGAAACTACAGAACCGATTAACATGTTTTTGGTGTCATTGGAAAGAGCGTAACGTGAAGTTGTGCAGGAAACCTTCTTTTTACAGAAATAATTAGAGAGTGAGGCCCTGGGGCCCTTTAAAGTTTCGTATTTCTCCATAAGATTAACATGGGAAACAAACATTGTCATGAAACTCGGGCCTATTGCATAAAACTACAATTTTACAATTTTACAAGTTTACAGGCAAATTTCTGAAGAATTCTTCAGAAATTGTAATTACAGGTGTTGCATGAACTACAAGTTACAGACTTGTAACAACTACTCAAAAACCCAAATTTACAGGCATTTCTTAACAATTTTACAGGTGTGTAGACTTGTATTTACAATAAAATTATTACAATTTTACATTTACCTGTAGAAATGTAAGATTTTTTTACCTAGCATCTTTGGCCTGTAAACCTTTGTTGCTATTGTACAAGTTATTCTTTTTAAGACTAAGATGTGGAATAGTGATGATTCTTCTGATCCACAACCTTCAAACTGAAACTTAAAACTAAACAACTATAATATTTGTATAATGTTATAGTAAAGTGATGATGACATAGTCAAATAAGAACTGTAGAATTTATGATCACTAAACAAATTAGTTAACTATTGATTAACATTAATTTAATAGACTAAGCACTAACTATAGTTAGTGTGTTTAGTGTTTAGTGTGTGTGTTAGTGTTTAAGTGTGAGCTTGTATGTTTTATTTATAAATAACCCTGCCGATCTAGCGAATTTCTATTTGTCTGAATTGATTTTCAATTAGCCTAAATCTATTTAAATAACAGGTTTAACGAGTACGTAGGTTTGCTGCTACAA